ATGTTGCCAAATTCGCGAGTGTGCGTATTTTCGCACAGTGGCGTAAACATTGCTACAATGATCAAAGACGCGCTGAACAGAAAGTCAATTCTGGGCTAGTACCATTGTCAAATTCTGGGGAGTAGAAGAATATTTATGTGGGAGACGTTACAATAAGGAACTATTAAAATCGTTCGATTTGCATATCGAAATTCTTTATTGGAACAGAGCATGTTCTATATTCACCAAAAAACAAAGTTGTTATGTTTCTAGACACACAACAGACTCGAAACAATAGAAACCGTCCGATCCGAGCGACTTGCGTTCTTGAAAATCGAGTCTTATCGCCCTTGCGTTTCCGAGCAAAAAAACGATGAGGCCAAAAACGACCGATTTTCGCCCAATCTTCTATGAATTTTTCATAATTTAGCTAATTCAGTCCAGCGGTTAGATAGGGTATTTATTAGAGACGCCCGGAGAACCAAAATTTGGGATGTGAATCACTCCGGCGACTAAAAATCGGCGAAAATGGCCAAGGGGGTGAGGGACTGCATTTCAAAAAAACATATTTTATATATAGGGTATGATCTTTCTGAAATCACAGTCACTCTACTAGTATCACTGTAAATTTGCACATGGACCGGAAGCTATGGTACACAAAGTGAGATAAGTAACGGCGTTCCGACTAAAGAAAACTAACAGTTTAATATGTAATTTGCGGTTATTGGCATTAGGCATTGTGGACTCTACAAATACTTTTATAGATACATATTTTGTATTATTGTAAATAGGAAAATTTACATCATTGGTGCAATTTCTCAAACTCCTTTTTATTTATTTATTTTTGTTTGTTTGTTTGTTTGTTTGTTTGTTTGTTCGCTTGTTTGTTTATTTACTTGTACACTACTTGAATGTGAAGTCTTTTGCTGTGTACGAAGTCACAAAATACACACTACTAAGGGTTGGACCATTTGATTTTTTTGGGGGGGAGGTCAGAAACGAAAAAAAAAATTGCAAAGTGAAGGGTTCTTCAAAAAAAAAGTTGCTGCTTCACCAGTGTAAAAAAAAAATATTTGTCACTATATGACTTCGGGAAAAAAATGTTTCCATCAGCTGTTGTGTCATCTCTGAACACGGTAGATTCACTTGAATTACTGCGTCATAAAAATATGGCAATTCTTCCTGCCAAGATAAGGGGGCACATAGTACAAGAAGAAACTAGGTCATATATAAATGGATGTCAATAATTCTGGTTTGTGGATTAATTAATAGCAGAGGGAAAATTAATATCTGCATTTCAATATTAATTTCAAAAACAATTTCACTCTGGTTGCATTTAGATTGTATACCATACATGCTCTATTAGAAGAGCATCTCCAATAGAAGCACATGTACGGCAACAATTGCATTGATTGTATACTGATTAATTAAAATATGATGTATTTTGACCATAGAAACACC